CCCCCCCCCCCCATTTTTTCTTATTAACTCATGCTTCCCATATGAAGTTAGCAAGATTTGGTGATGGGCTGGATGTTTACTGTCCTAGCAGTACAACATTTATTTTGGAAAAGGTAAACTTTATGCTCAAGGGTTTAAACCAATTGTTCACTACTAGACATTAGAATGAGATTAATTTCACATTTGTCCACCATAAGGTTTCTTATACCTTCTGACACACTTGATACTAACTACTGTAAGAGAGGAGATCAGATTAGGCCTCAGAACTGGTCCTTGATGGCAGTTCGTATATTCAGCAAACTTGTGTTTCTTTATAATCAAATATTGCACTTTCACCATTTGAATTTTTTACAATGAAGTTGGATTATATTTTTTAAAAGATAATTTTCACGTTACAATCCCTTGCTCTGGCTCCAGCCTAGAAGCTAATAGCCAAGATGCTGCTCCCTGGACTCCCTCTACCTCTCCAAATTGGAAGGCATTTCCATTTCAAAACACTTGCCTGAAGGGAACAGAGCTAACCCTTCTCAGTAACTGTGGAGCACTAGTCAGGGAACTGCTCACTTCCTAGGTATAGAGCACATCACAAGTAGTATGAACCAGCAGAACAGAGACCAGCCGTACAGCTTGACACTTCCCATTACAGAGCTGGAAGTTTGTTTTTGTTCTAGATATTCGCTTCCTCAGCAGACTGACTCAGCCCACCTTTCATCTGAAGGGGTCAACCTGCCACAGAGCCACTGTCAGCAGCCTGTTTTTGCCTGCCTGGATCTGAAGGCTATTTTCCTCTGCATTCAGCACAGGTTAACTGACAAGTATGGGTCTTAAGCAAGATGACGGAGAGCCAATCAATGGAGGCCAGAGGACATTCTTTTTCCTATTTTCCTGCTGTGAGGCTCCTTGTACAAGTACCTGTGTTCCCCTTACTAAACAATTTTAAAATAGCTGAGCAAAACAAAAACAGACAGCCCATGTTCCACTCCCCAAACTCTATTTAAAAACTTATATGAAGAGAAAACTACAGAAGAATTTTTTTTAATAGTGTAGACTTACAGGTTTCCCAACCATCATTGATTCAGTGATTTTACGCTCCATAAAAAGTAATGGGTGGATGAGCAAAAGGACTAAACCTACCAGCTGCATCCAGGTATACTACAGCAGCACACAATACTCCAACTGCTTTCTGTTTCATGCTTGATTTGCAAGACACTTCCTAGAGTAAGAAAGGTGCCACTAGTGCCTATTGAGACTAGCTTCCTCAGCAGACTGACTTAGCCCATCTTTCATCTGATGCATCTTCCAAGGTGAACCTACACCAGGATGTCAAATTATTTCATGCAGCAGCTCAGAAAGCCATTTCTTATCTGATCTAGATTTGGACTGGTGGGGATTCTATCAAGGGTAATCTGTAAATGGTCTCAGATTCACCTTTCTTACTCTTGAATACACTCCAGGCACTTCCCTGACAAAGAGGGTACTTTTAAAGACAATTTATGACTGTAACGTTTCTATTCCCTCACCAGCATACAGAAGCACCTTATTAGCCCTTGACCTCAGGTTGTAAGACAATCACAAATCCTTGGCATGACCAGGCAGACCACCCTCCCTATTAACACATCTAAATCACTTGAGCCATCCAGTTCACGCTTTCCTTGCAATTTAACAATGTAATGAAATGTATTCCAGCACAGGAACTGCCAAAACTGTCAGCTCAAATACCCATCTACCCTACTTCTCAGAATAGTTATAGCCTTGTCAATTTGCTATATACTTTGGTTTACATTTTTTGCCACTTCACTCATTGTTACAACTAAAGCAACTGGTTACAGTTGTTTCTACTGACCCATTTTACCTTGCATGGGATTAAGTGCCTGTTTTAATCTCATTTGTTAAATCATAGATTTCTCACAGCAAGGAGTCATCAGCTATGTGCTTGTGCAGAGACGAGCACAAGGGGTTCCTAGAAATCACTGAAGTCTTCAGGTTGTACCAACATTTATGAAGAAACACAATATTCCACCTAATAAACTGGCTCTTTAGTATCTAGATATAGTAAAGAGAGAGACACCTTGGTTTTCCTTCAAGACAAAAAAATATAGCAATATGTGAAAACTCAGTAGTCAGGTTAAATGGGTGAAATAAATAGTCATTAAGAACCTACTCTCTCCCAGGTCCCTTCTAAAATGGAATGTAAACTCCCCAGACACTTCCATGCTTTTAAAAATTCATTAAACCACGGGGGGGGGAAATCATTACCTTTGTAAAAGAATGATGAAGAACCCTAATGTGTATAAAAGATACGTTAATAGAATTAAACATTCCCTCTTTAATGCAGTCACAGAATTGTACATATTGCCATATTTTTGTTCTAGAGTAATACTGAAATAGTATGTTAATACTTGGATATAGTTTAAGAAAAAGTAAGTATATAATAGTTTCAAAATGTTCAAGCTCTGACAACTAAAATAAGGGACTCAAACCCATCTTTCATAATGCAACTAAAACTAAGCTTTGATCCTATTGGCCTTCTGCAGGTATTCATGGGATCTAAAAAGGAGGCCATTCTCTAGGTGGATTTAAACTCCTTGTTCTGCTTGCTCAGATTTGTAAAAGCAAGGCTGATATGAACTTACTACAGAAAGAAAAAAAAGGCTTAACACACAAACAAGCAATAAACTCTAAAGACACCCACTTTATATTTAGCATTCCAAAAAGAAAACAAAATACAGAAAAGTCCACCAAAATCACTGCTGAAGTCATTATTGCAGCCAATAAACTTTGCACACTTTTTAATCCATCTCTGCAGAAGCATACAAACAAAATAATTCCCTTCAATTACGTGCACTTGCACCAAACTTACTAGAACTTGAGGCAAATGGTTCAGCACAAACAGCCGACAATACAGCTAAATGTTCTGAAAGGGGAGACAAAGTTGCTCTTACCCGTTCCGAGTTTAACTGGCTCTAACATGCTGGTCAACTACCAGCAGATTTCAGCCTCCCTCAGCTCGGGTTGGAAGTGACTCTCAAACACAGCCCTTCCTGTTTGACCTTTTTACCTTTCCTGTTGATTAATTAGCCCAGTTTGGACATGTGAACTAACAGGAAGTTGACCATTAACTCACACTGTTAATGCAGAAACTGTCTGTTCTAAAATGCTCGTGAAAATTTGCACAGAACATTTAACTATTCAAGTTCACCATTTGACATGCAAGAGAATGTGTTAGAAATATGTTGAAAGCCTCATTCACATGCCTTTCCTTGTCCTGAACAATTGAAATGTATTACTACCGGTACTTATACCAACAGCAGATAGAAATTTCAGCTACTGTTATTAGTGTTAAACTCCTTTCAATTTTATGTCTTATTACTTAGCTGTTATTGAGCAAGTGCAGAACTCATTTTCTCTATCATAACAGATTGGGGACAATTCATTTTTTCAACTAACAGGACTGCCATATCATAGCTGGCAGGCAAATGACATCAGTTAAAGATATGAAAAATGTTGTGAATCTACATCAGATTGAACTACTTTACTTCTGTTCGCTTTGGGGTTGTACTGCAAGGAACCATTTGTGCTAAGACTGGCACACATGTACAACAAAGAGATGGACCTTTACCCAAAGACGTTATACACATTAATACCTAAAAGATTTTAGTAATGATATATTCTCATACATGCCAATAATCATTCTAATATAATAAAAGCCTTTGTCCATCTGTCTGTCTGTCCATAATGCTTTATTTACACTGTGATTGTCTCAGCAGCCAATCACATTGCTTACTGAAACAACCAATCAGAGAGCTCCAAGAGCATTCCAGACAGGAGGCAGCTGTGTTGGCAGTGGCACGCCACCATGATGGTGGGGACTGGGAGGATGGAGTGGGGGGGGGGTGAAGCCAACAGCGCTTGCCTTACTTCCCCCATGCTCCCTGGAGGTGGCAGTGACATGGGGTGCTGGCCAAAGGGGATGGAGGGGATGGTGGGGAAAGCCCCCTCCTCCTCCCTGCTGCTCCTAGGAGGCAGTGGTGGGCCAGGGCAGTGAGTGGCGGTGCTAAGTCCTTGCCTGCCACCCTGTCATTCCTGATGGGCAATTATCTAGTACAAACTAATGGTCCATTCAGAATTTTAACTGCTACCTACATTAGCAAGAAACAATTTAAATAAAGGAATTCTTTGTTATTGCTGCATGGAATACATAGTGTCATAGTATACTCCATTATCATATTGAATCTACCTACAGTTATTATTGCAGAATCTCTTTCATTGGATGTTTTCAGGAAGAGACAAGGGTTAGGGACAGAAGTTACATATAAACCAGCTTAAGTGATCAGAAACTGGTTTAAACCTGTAACAGAACAGAAGTTCAGTGCACATAAACCAGTTTCAAAATGGCTGAAACTGGTTTAAGAGAAACCTGGTTGACTGTAATATCAGACTTAAGTGATCTAAGTCAAACCAGTTTATGAAACTTCCATCCCAGATCCCTTCCTGTTCAAGTTAAATCAGAGTCCCCCAGCATCCCAGCATGCTTTGCAACCCTAGGCTGGGCTGGGCTGTCTGCTTGAGCAGAACAGGGTTGGCCCCACCCCTCTGCTCCCTAGCCTGAGCAGTGAGGGCTGGCTGACAAGGGAGTGGTTGTAGGGGTGGTAAACCCAGCTGGCACAGCCTGGTCTGGGCAAAACAGCCCCTGCCAGACTTTTCCCCATTGCAGTGGAGAGCGTACGGGGGGGACATGGGCCAGCAGGCTCAAGGGGGGGGAGGGATTAAACCCCCAGACCAGGTATGACCAGCTTTCCCCGCTGCTCGCCACTCACAAAATGTGGGGCATGGCCACACCTGGCCCAGGCAGCAGCCTCAAGCAAAGGGGGAGCACGGAGGGAGATTAAATTCCCCTTTCTCTCCTCTCTCCCACCAGCATGGGGACTCTGGCTGAAATCTGCCCAGCTTTCCTCCCCACTGGCCACTCACACAGCAGGGGCATGGTCAGAGCCAGCCCAGGCAGCACCTCAGGCAAAAGCAGGACAGGGAGGGTGATTAAACTCCCCTCTGTCCCACAGGCATGAGGACTCCAGCCAGGGTCTGCCTGGCTTTCTGCTCCGCTGACTGCATGCATAGTGCAGGGTGTGACCAGATCTGGCTCAGGCAGCAGCCTCAACTGCCTGGGTTGGCTCTGGCTGCTCCCTCTACCATGTGAGTGGCCAGTGGAGCAGAAAGATGGACAGACCCTGGCTAGAGTTCCCATGCCATTGGGAGAGAGGGGAGACAGGGGAGCTTAATCCGCTGCCCTGCACTCCCTTTGCCTGAGGTGCTGCCCAGGCTGGAAGGACAGAAAGCCGGGCAGACACTGTCTGGAGTCCCCATGCTGGTGGGAGAGAGGGGAGACAGGGTTTTAATCCCCCTTCCTCCCCCACTTTGACTGACATGCTGCATGGGGCCAGTGTCTGGCTGTACCCCTCCTTGGGGACAATCCCCCCCCATTTGGAGACAAACCTGGCAAGGGCTGCTTCCTGCTTTCCCCTTCCCCCTCCAGGCACACCCCACCTGGGGTCCCTGCAAGCCAGCAGGGAGGGGTATAAACCCCTCTATAATCAGACTCAGCAGCCTATCAGGGCCTGTCCATGTGCCCCCCCTCTCCCCAGCTCAGCTTCCCTCCAGCCTTATGGCTTCTGCCAAAAGAAAGGGAGGGCTTGGTCTAGTGCTCCCCCCTGCCCCCCCAGCTTCTAGCCTAAGCCACTGCAGGCATGTGGCTGCATTTCTGGAATCAAAAGTGAATGTCTATACATTTGCAAATCGGTTCAGTCTAAGCAGGTTAGACTAGCCTGCAAAGCTTGAATCATTTCGGGCTCAGGCTTTTTTGAATATCTGTACTTAGTTAAGAGGATAAGTATTTGACAAGGGTGGCTTAAGAACAGTGCATACTGCATTTATGCAAGGAGTTGCATTAGATGACTCTTGAGGTTCCTTCAACTCTCTGATTCTATATAACAGTAGGCATACATGGAAGAGGAACGTTTTCTCAAGAACTTATGATATGATGTATATTAATCATCTATTGGCTGTATACTATTTCACAGATTCACAGAGGTTTATGACTGAAAGGGACCTCATGAGGTCATCGGGTCCAGCCCCGCTGCTCTGGACAATCATGGTAAGAGACGCACATTACAATGAATACGTCCTACTTGACATAGATTCATAGATGTAGGGTCAGAAGGGACCCAAGTAGATCATCAAGTCCAACCCCCTGCCCTGGGCAGGAGAGAATACTGGGCTCACATGACCCCAGCTAGGTAATTACCAAGCCTCCTCTTAAAGATCCCCAAGGTAGGAGCCAGCACCACTTCCCTTGGAAGTTGGTTCCAGATCCTAGCTGCCCTGACTGTGAAATAGTGTCTTCTAACGTCCAGCCCAAACCTACTCTCGAATAACTTATGGCCGATATTCCTTGTTACTCTGGGGGGTGCATGGGTGAACATGTTCTCTCCCATTCCCCGCTGATCCCCCCTGGTAAGTTTGTAAACAGCCATCAGGTCCCCTCTCAGCCTTCTCTTGTGAAAGCTGAACAGGTTCAGGTCCCGTAGCTTCTCCTCATAGGGTCTGCCCTGCTGTCCCTGGATCATGCAAGTGGCCCTCCTCTGTGGATGCATGACAAGGTGCAGCTGGCCTTACTAACTGTGTCCTCATATTGGCGGACCATGTTCATTTTAGAATCGATAATGACTCCAAGATCTCTTTCTGCCACTGTGCTTCGAGAAGGGAGTTCCCCAACCTATAGGTATGCTGCTGGTTCTTCCTGCCCAAGTGCAGTACCCTGCACTTGTCAGTATTGAATCCCATCGTATTCTCATTCACCCACCCCTGTAACCTGTCCAGATCCAGCTGTATCCTGTCCCTTTCTTCTAGCACACCCACCTTGCCCCAGATCTTGGTGTCATCAGTGAATTTGAACAGGGTGCTTTTCACCCTCTCGTCCAAGTCACTAATAAAGTAATTAAACAGCGCGGACCCAAGGACCAAGCACTGGGGGCCCCACCACCCACATCCTTCCAGGTCAAATATGACCCGTCCACCACCACTCTCTGGGTGCAGTCCCCCAGACACTTTGCAATCCATCTGGCTGTGTAGGCATCAATGCCACAGTCACCTAGCTTTTTAATGAGAATGGGGTGGGAGACAGTATCAAAGGCCTTCCTGAAGTCCAGAAAGACTATATCCACCGTGACACCCGCGTCCAATGCTTTTGTGACCTGATCGTAGAAGGCAATCAGGTTGGTCTGACAGGACCTGCCCCTAATGAGCCCATGCTGGTTGCCCCTGAGCAACTTCCCCCCTACCAGTCCTTCCCAGACGTGCTCCTGGATAATCTTCTCAAAAAGCTTCCCCAGGATCAAAGCAAGACTAACGGGCCTATAGTTGCCCAGGTCCTGGCTCCTCCCTTTTTCGAAAATGGGGACCACATTGGCCCTCTTCCAGTCATCTGGCACCTGGCCAGAGCACCACGAGTGCTCATAAAGCCGTGCCAAGGGCCCCTCGATAACCTCTGCCAATTCCCTCAACACCCTGGGGTGGAGAGCATCTGAATCTGCTGATTTGAACATGTCCAGCACCTCCAGAAATTCCCTAACTCAGTCCTCCCCGACCCTAGGTCTGTCAGAGTCAAATGGAGGCAAAGAAATTGTTAAAAAGGTCCGCCTTTTCCTTTGGTGCAACCACCAGATTGCCTAGTGTATCCTGCAGGGGCCCCACATTACCTGGTACTTTCTTCATACTCCCTATGTATTTAAAAAAAAGACTTTGTTGTCCTTGATGCTAGCCCTAGTTCCATATCTGCCTTAGCTTTCCTAACAGTCCCCCTACAAGCCCGAGCGAAGGAGGTATACTCCTCTTTGGTGATAGCCCCTCCCTTCCACTGGGTGTACATTAACTTGTACTACTATTATGTACCTTGAAATGAAATAATATATTTTAAAATCAACTATTTTTCTATCTATGTTGATTATTTAAAATCATGCATGTACATCTGGG